AGTACATGACAGCCTAGTACATGCCAGCCTAGTACATGCCAGCCTAGTACATGCCAGCCTAGTACAGGCCAGCCTAGTACATGCCAGCCTAGTACATGCCAGCCTAGTACATGCCAGCCTAGTACATGCCAGCCTAGTACATGCCAGCCTAGTACATGCCAGCCTAGTACATGCCAGCCTAGTACATGACAGCCTAGTACATGCCAGCCTAGTACATGACAGCCTAGTACAGGCCAGCCTAGTACATGCCAGCCTAGTACATGCCAGCCTAGTACAGGCCAGCCTAGTACATGCCAGCCTAGTACATGCCAGCCTAGTACATGCCAGCCTAGTACATGCCAGCCTAGTACAGGCCAGCCTAGTACATGCCAGCCTAGTACAGGCCAGCCTAGTACATGCCAGCCTAGTACATGCAGCCTAGTACATGCCAGCCTAGTACATGCCAGCCTAGTACATGCCAGCCTAGTACATGCCAGCCTAGTACATGCCAGCCTAGTACATGCCAGCCTAGTACATGCCAGCCTAGTACAGGCCAGCCTAGTACATGACAGCCTAGTACATGCCAGCCTAGTACATGCCAGCCTAGTACATGCCAGCCTAGTACAGGCCAGTACACCTACCACAATGCTACTTTTCCTTATATTGTGAATTTCTGAACAACGCACAACTAGCCTCGTTAACTGCATGTAACTTAACTACAGTAGATCACAGTTAACTAAGACAGAAACTCAGACACAAAAAAAGTCATATTTAACCGAGTTTTGCCAGATTAATTTGCGCCAAAGTTACTATGTTAATAAGATTTAATATATGGTTTATTGCATTTTATTGAGACGTTTCGTTCAGCAGGTGGTTGAAACGTCTTAATAAAATGCCATACACCGCATATTGGGTCTTTGTAATTTACTACCGTATATACGACAATTGGTGAGACTTAAATTTGTAAGTTGAATCTCGACAAAAAAAAAAAAACTCATCTAGTGGATACAGTAGTTGAGATAATGTCAACTTGAGTGTAAGGTGGAAAGTAATACTGTAAACAGAATGAGTGTACACAAGAAAAGTAAACTAGGAAGAGTGAAAGCAGGCAAGGGAAAGCGAGTGAAATCAGGAGTGAAGACAAGATGGTCGGTGCAGAGAGTGACAGCCGTTCTAAGTCTGTTTATTAATGTCTTGTAATGTAAGACATAATGCTGAAAATGGTATAAAATACTGACAAGTTGATGATGAAGGCACATGGGTATGTTTATTATTGAAACGTTTCGCCTACACAGTAGGCTTCTTCAGTCAAATACAGAGTCAGCAAGTGTAGTAGTGAAATGAAGATGATGTAATCAGTCCTTCAACCTTAGATAAATAGTTGAGGTGGTTCCATGGTCGTTCCAGATCATGGAACTAAACTCTTCTCAGGCTGAGGGACTGACCACCTCAAATACGTACTTTTTTTCCAAGGTTGATGGACTGATCACGTCATCTGTATTTCACTACTACACTTGCTGACTCTGTATTTGACTGAAGAAGCCTACTGTGTATCAAATCAAAGTTTATTTCTTTGCATAGGTTACAATGTGTGAATGAATATAAAGCGTGTTAAAGGTACAAAGAAAGCCACTAGCATGCTGAGGTATTTCGGGCATGAGAAACATTTCAACAATAGTATCATTCTGCACATCAAGGCAGAATGGTACTAACTAGGTGGGTGAGGAGAGACAACTGGGAAAGTGACACCTTGGAGAGTCAAGGACTCAGAGTCACCATCCTCTTACAGGACCTTGTCACTACGCCGCAAAATGTGGTACCACCGCACCTCGTTACAGACACAACAGTGGCGAAATTCACTTACTGTTATCCCGTATGGTGTTATTAAAAGTAATCCAGGACTGAAAACAAACGTGAAGATACATAAGAGAGACATCATCCGATTTAATTTGAAAAATCGGGACGTGCCTGCCAAATGCCACATTTCAAGAGGTTGCTCCACGTTACTGGAAATAACGGGAAGAGGGGCTACGGATGGCGCTATAAGTCAAAGAAAACTGCTTAAACACAGATCTAAAGGCCGAAAGGACAGACACAATCTCTCGAGTAGAATTTCTAGGGCTCGAAAAGTTTATTAAAGATGTGATATACTGACCCCCTCCCAAGCGTGGAAAGCGACCAAGGGAAACTTCGGGACGAAAATGTTAAGGCTTCGAAATACGATAACGTAGTGATCCACCTGGTGGTTCACACTTACACTCGCTCACTCATTTGACCATAAACAGAAATATTAATCTCAGTCTTAAAATAATGAATCCTGTGATACTCCAATACTGAAACTATATACTGTGCCAAAACAAAAGCATTCACATTGCTAAACTCACAAACTAGTATTTAGTCACTTAGCCATAATACCAACTTACCTCATAATTCGTAATATTTTACAATTAAGAATAAAACTAAGTATGCCCGAAATGCCTAGCCATGCTAAGCGTTCTAGTGGTACACTCTGTAATCACAATTTTACTACATGTAAACCAAACAATAACCAAATTTCTGTAAACTCAGCATTGTAATCCTTATAGAGAATAAACTTTGAATTGAATTATAATTGTAGCCAAATTGACTGGAATACTGTAACTTCACAGTAGCAGTTCAAGACTGCTTCTTTAAAGCAGTTTGTAACTGAACCTGCTGGACCTGGTTCTGTCAAACAAGGAGCCCTTAGTAAATAGTCTAGAGATCAAGGATGAGCCTGACACAAGTAATCACGAAGTTATTACTTTTCTTATTAACTGGGAGGGTTGATGAGAAGGATTATGCAGTAAAGGTCTCAGATTTTAGTTCTGTAGTTTATAGCAGACTTAGGGAGCACCTGTCTTGTGCTGACTGGGGTTATCAGGCTTTGAGTCTGTCGATGATCTTTGAAACGGCAGTGAAAGAAATTAAATCAAGTTAAAACTATACCAAATGGATTAAGAAGAGACAAAAACATATCTTAGGACTGAAGAAAGAACTTTACAGGCGCATCTTAAGAGGTAAAAAAAATGGGGAGGGGAGATCAGAAAAGCTAAACGACCGTCAGTGACTATGAAATTAAAGTGGCAAGTGAATCCACGATAAAATACAAATAATTCTTTCAAGTGTATAGGACAAATATCAACGGTAAAATTGGATCACTAAAACTAATGAAATGTGCTCTCTTTTTAAGTTACTTTTTGTCGGTCTTCACACAAGAAGACAAATGACATCCCAGCAATTAAAAATTATAGAGGGCCTGGGCCAGGGACATGGTTATTAAACAAGTACACATTAAAAAAAAAAGTCGCCCTAGCTCGGACGAACTGCTCTCAAGGGTACTTAAAGAATGCAGTGTCACTGAAGTCAACTACTAACTAACCTGTTCGGCATATCTTCAACATCATGCTGATGTTGAAGATGGCTAATGAAATTCCTGTCTTCCAATCAGAATATAAAGCATACATCAAATTACTGCCCAATAAGAACAAAAAGGCACAATACGCGACTGGTCAAAATGCGACCCAATGGTAGGCCCCTTGTTGTCATAATCTTTATTAATGACATGAGAGGGAAATAAAATGTCAAATATGAATAAATTCGCTGATGACGCAAAAATAGGCTTGAATAACAGGTAATAGATGATTGTTCACTGAACCACAATAAGATTTAGACCTAGCTAATGTTTGGAAGAGTGCAGATGCGTTCAGTGTGGTAATGGGTAAAGTCCCCATCTTGGAATATGAAAAGTACCTTCATAACTGTACTTACAAACTATGTGCTGTGAAGCTTGATCCTTCAGACTGGACAGAATTGTGAGTCAATGGTTAGGAAGAAAGCACACATCAATATTGGTATGTGTGCGATAAGGGCTAACAAAACACAATTACTTAACCTGCACATACAGAAATAAATAAAGCCTTATGGGTCCGACTTTGGGACTACTGACTAGGTTTTTTGTCTTTAAGAACAAAACTTACTCAGGCAATACTAGATGATACATTAGTTAGTTAGTTAAGATTTAGCCGGTATTCTCCGGCCCGGGCCTTTCCATGTGGTGGCCGGCTTTGGCTCCCTCTTTAGGGAGTGTCTGAGACCTAAGTCTTCCCATGGAGGAAGGCACAAGTACCTCCTAATCTTTTGGACAACTGTCCCCAGGCCTAGCCACAAGCTAGGCCTCTCTGGTCTGCCATCCCCACCCAAGGGGCAAAATGGAATGGACAGTCGTATGAGCTAAAAGCTCGGGTCAGGCACTACCATTACCCTTAGAAGGGTTAGCATGGTTTGTCGATCAGATGATACCATATTCTGCACTTTATTATTACTAAAAACAGCCAATCACTTGGACAGAGCTCCTTGACGCAAACATAATTGCACGTAACTACGCTGTTTCACATTTCCCTGGATAAGGTAGATGAACCTAAGTATGCAAGTTTGGCCATTTGCGAAAGATCTTTGCTGTAATTGCCAATTACATATCTTCCAGTTGCAAGTGAATTAATGTCATTTGTTAGGAGAGATCTGGAAGAACCCACGCACGGGAATAAATACTATACCAAACAAGTATACGGGGAAAGGGCTAAGAAAGAGGGGGCACAATTAAAAAAGTATACGGCAGACACTTAGAAAATGGTGAAGGTTCTCTATCATTCACCATTTATAGAGATTTTTCTTCTAGATTAAATAGGAAACACTCGTGAGACTTTTCATCTTATTGCAAGATGATTATAATCAATCAAATATTTATTTATATTAGGTTAATTACCACTAAATATTACAAGTACATCGTGTGAATAATGTGTCATAGGATATATACACGGAGAGGCTCATTTCTCTTATCGTGTATACGCTGGAGATTTAATCCCTATTTTAGGGATTAAATTATCCTTGTCTGGTGGTGACAAGGTTACATGCAGCCTGAATGACCCTTGTGTAGTCGATAGGCTTCACACCCCATTAACCAAGCAAGGAAGGTGAGAGGGAGAAAGGGAGTTAGTTGTTACCTTGGCGGTGTGAGTGGCTGGGTCGTGTTCCAGAGGATTGAAGACAGCATCTAGCCAGCTTAGGATCATTAACATCACCGCTACCACCACCAGCCTCTTCAACCTCGTCTGTCTGTCTGTCAGCATCTTTGTAGTGCTGCTGCTGTAGCCTACGACAGTAACTACTGTACTTTCTGCACAGGAAGGACTGCTGTTCCTAAACAGCTTTTTTGTGCTCTGTTGTGTTCATGAAACTGTGATCATTACTGTTGCACTGTAGTTGTTTTGCTACTGTTGTTGCTGCTCCTGTTAATGTTGTTGCTACTACTATTGTCACCACACTCATGCTGCAAAAACTGATTCTGTGGGGAAAAAATCAGCGTTAATAAGAGTGTTCATTTTTTACAAGGATGCTGAGACGTCATTACAACATATAAGATACCATGAGAACTTTACATGGAGAGAAAAAGATTGTTAAAGAGTAGGGAAACAAACACTGCGACAAAGATGGAAGCTAAAGACGCGAATATGCCTCACATAAGAATATTCCTTCAGTTTCAGAGCGGTCAGCAAGCAGGATGAACTGGAGCCAACACTCTTCATTAACATTACGTTCAACACTGCAGATTACATCAGTTTATTAATCAGTAATCACCATGAACACAACTGGAGAATCTGGGTTTTACACAGCTTCTTAATTATGACCAACGATCATGACAGACTTAAGCGATACACAAATTAGTATTTTTACCACATCTCAAAAAAAAAAAATCATTTCATCCCATTATCATACGAAGCTGAAACTCCAGCTACGTCTTAGTGTTATTAAAATTTTATTACAATAAAAATTGATAGGTTATATTTTATAGTTCCCCTCCCCTCAAAATGGTTCATAACGGGGTACTTCTTAGGGTACTTAAAGTATTATCGACTAACAACCGAAAGAACAGGGTCAAACCCTGGAAGGGTTGTAGCATGTGGTCGTTTCCTAACATCTGCTGGCTCTGTTACCCAGCAGTAATAAATATCTTGTTGCTAGGGAACTGTATGGCCGTTCTCACACCATACACTAGCATCGTCAGATATTAAACGAATTAGTTCAGGAAGATATGAGTGTTGAACTTTGTTATTGTAGGTTAAATATTCTTAAATGCACGTAACGTAACCTATAACATTTACTTTTGCTTTTGGAGAGATGAACGCACATCATCGGAGGGGTTTTGTCCAACAAGGAGATCTCTTGCACCATTTCTCTTCTGTATAGCAGTTAGGGAAGGAAAATCACAGACTGACCAGCAGGTAAACATCTGGTCCTAGATGATTGGCACACTAGCAGGTACAAAGGAGTCCCTCCTTACATGACTTACAACAGGTACGTATGCACTGAAGGATAAGGGTCTCATCCTGAATCTATCCAAATGTGGAAATCATCTCTGTAGTTAACGAGTGATAAATGCAGTGAGATCAAAACTACCAGGAGCAGCAGTCATTGCCCCATAATAGTGGCATGCTAGGAGCACTCTGGGAAAAAGCAATGCCATTGACACAATTCTCAGGAAGAAAATTGGATGAGTAAAGGAGGAATGGAAAACGAATAGGCAATCTGGACCACTCACGATGCCTTGTTTACCTTTTCACAAGTGCTGAGTCTGCCGGTTGACATATTTCCTAAGATGTGCACCTTCATAATGATAAACCTATATGCACGATATGGACAGTATTTGAGGCAGATTTTTACGAAAGTAGTACTTACCTACTCTAGGAAGAGGGGCAGTGGTACCAAGGTACATTCCAGTCAGACTAGGAGGCATTGGTTTGTCCGCAAAGTCATCAGAGATTGGCGTTATCTGCTTTTCTGTCTCGTGTATTGCATCCAGAGAGCTTGTAGCAGCGATTCTCCCTGAAATCATAGGGACAAGATTGGAGTCCAGGACCAAAAATTCATTGACGGAGCAATGATTCTGGGATAATCTAACGGGCTCTGAAACAGACTGCTCCCCCAACAACTACAAACAATCGGCTCTGGGATGGTCCAATAGGGAAAAAATATAGCCTCAAACAAATGCTTCAGTGTGTGTCATGGAAGGATTAGAGCCCGCTCCTGGTGTGCGAGCCCCTCATGCTGGGGACTTTCTGTTGGCTGTTCCCAACTCCAGTTGGCACCACTCCTCGAAAACCCCCAACAGAACCCCCATCGCATCGGTGTTGCCCTTCGACTGGCCGCCCTATTCTCGCCGAACACAGGGTGTATATTGTGGCAGTGAAGTGCAGCAGACCGTCCGGGTACCATGGTCTTGTGTGCCGTAAATCCGAGGGAAAGATTGAAGGAATTGAGGGGTTAATAACATTATCAAGAGGAGCGTCACAACAGCGGATGCCCAGCAGTAAGGGGAGCCACCCCAGCTAATGACAGATTGATGGCAGCCAGAAGGTCCGCTGGCTTCAAGCCTGGACTGATGGGAAGAGGTGGTGTGGGGACTATACTTGAGCATCACCTTGGCTGATTACCTATCTCCAATCACCAGGGAAGAAGGAGGGGGGCAGCTGCCAGCTTCAGGGAGTCCAAAAGTCTAGAAAATATGGAGAACTTGCCCATCATTATATGTTTGTTCCCATTGGCTCAAGAGGACCCTTGGTCATGGGGAAAGAGTGCATTAAATTCCTTAGGAGGATGGGAAAAAGACTCATCAGGGTAACTAGGGATCCCAGGGGCAGATAGTTTTCTGTTCCAGCGGCTCAGTGCGGCTGTTCAATGGGGTAATGCCTGCTGTATTTGGGAACACGCCCCCATGCTCTGAGGAGGCTGGATGAGATTTTCGCATTATAAATCGGTGATACACAATAACATGTACCTAATATGCCACCTGCATTATCAACACTGTATCTCTTAAATCTTCTGTACCATAGTATGTAATAAAATATTCCTAGTGGTAAAAAAATTATATATTTAAAAGATGGGGTGGTAGGGGAAAGTGGAAATTCAAATGGCTTCGGGAAGATATCCAAATATTCTTCCTTGAAGCCTTTTTATCTACTTCTTCGAGGGCTATGGGTCCCACAATTACACCAGAGGTGGGACCCCATCCTATATAAAAAATATATATATTTTATAATATTTATATATATTATATATATATTTATATATTTAATATATTTATATTTATATTTATATATATATATATATGTAAAGGAGGGGTGTTAATGTTGCAGTTTATAAACTGGGTGTGTAAAGTCACCCTTCTGGCATGAAAGTGGATGGAGTGATTGATGGATGTAAGTTTTCTTTTTCGGCCACCTGCCTTGGTGGGAATCGGCCGGTGTGATAATAAATATAGATATCATTTATATACTGTGGTCCTCAATTTCGGTCTATAATCTGTTCTGGAAAGTGGGACTATTATCGATATGGACGATTTTCGAATCAATTTTCCCCTAAGAAATTAATGTAAATCCCATTAATTCGTTCCAGACACCCAGAAGTATCAACAAAAAAATTTTTTTTTAACCTAAAAGATCAGATTTAATGCACGCAATAGAATGAACATTCAACGTATGACAGTTACCTTTATTGAAGAATGTTGTTGATGAATGGAAGACAGGGAGGAGGTGAGGGAAGAGTGGTTATTGGGATGGGATCCCCCTCCATAAGGGGACTCTAGGGCACTATAAAAAGGTATAAATGATCGTTGGTATTAGGGTTTGTTGTTGAGTGGAACAGTCTGCTAGTAGGGTGATCGAGCTAATACTTTGGGTAGTTTCAAAATTTAGGCTGGATAAATATCAAGAGTGAGAGGGGTTGGATTTGAGTCACTTGCACCTGAGCTTATTGCTTGGGTAGCATTTGTTCTGTTAGTGGGGTTGGATTTGTGAAGGACTGGCTAGTATGGGCCAAACAGGCCTATTGCATGTTCTCCTTTTCCAATGGTCTAAAAGCTATGCTTGGGTAGTTTCAAATTTAGGTTGGATAATACTCGAGTGAAAGAGTGGATTTGAGTCGGATTTGCGAACTGAGTTTATTGTTGGGTAGCATTTGTTCTGTTAGTGGTTGGATTTGTGAAGGGACCGGCTAGTATGGGCCAGCAGGCCTGTTCCAGTGTTTCCTACTTCCCTAAGTTCTTATTTAACATCACACTTACAGTAGGGTGATCGAGGCTTGGACTTGGGTAGCTTTAAGAAGACGATTGGACAAATATACGTGTTGGAGAGCTGAGTTTGGATTTGTGTCATTGGTTACGGGAGTAAATTCTTGGGTAGCTTTTGGGTGGAGGTCATTTGAGAAGGACCTGCTTGTATGGGCAGTAGACTGCAGTGATCTTCCTTTGTTATGTTCTTATTGGCTATTTGTTTGTGTGTGGCAGAGATGGCAAGTTTATTGTTGGTGAATATGACACTATTATCAACTCTATGGCTTTATTTATCTATCACAATTCAAATAATATGACATTATAAAACAAACTTTATAACATAGAAACAATGGAATTTACTCTAGAATGAATAGAATAATGTCAGAGTTGTATATTCTTACTTGAAGGACTGGAGTAGAAGACAAAGGGGTATGCTTTCTGGGGCTGGTTGGAGGTCTTGTTAGCGGCTTGACAACATCATGAACGGTAATGGGATCTATCCTATTATTTGCCTCAGTGTGAGGGCTATGATGTATGCAAGCGGTTAGAAGTGAGGAGTTGTTAGAAAGTTCAGGACAGCTTAGACAGAATTAGGATGAAGGGGGGGGCGCACTGTTAGATGTGGCATTTTGCAAGAAGAGTGATGGTAATGAATGTTGTCCAGAGCAATGGTATTAATTGTTGGCTGGATTAAAACACTGTAAGGATAATGCAGTACCATTCATTGGAAAACTGGGACAACTTCTATGGCCGAAAGGACATGTATGCACGGGGATTTTTTTTTGGGTTCACTTATCCAGGGCAGGTGGTGGTTTCTTGCTACTCTGTTGAGGGGTTGTTAGGACCTTTAAACTAGATTAGTTAGAGTATGGGTTTAGTAATGTTAAATAATGATTATTGGATATAACAGTGGGACCCCGCATAACGATTACCTCCGATGAGACCTATTTGTTAGGGTATTTATGTAGTGCGTTGTGTAGTGTAATATTTGGGGGTCTGAAATGGACTAATTACTTTATAATTTTCCTTATGGGAATAAATTCGGTACAGTACTGGCACCTGAACTTATCTTTTGGAAGTGAAAAAAAATATCGTTTAACGGGGGTCCCTGTATTGACTTATGCTTGATATTTAGGAATCTTAATATTACTGTCATGGGAGCAACTCTGGGTAATGATAATTTCAGAAACTGTTGTAAAACAAAAGATGGAATAGGAAAAATGTAGCAGAAGAAAAAACCATATGATGGTCTTTTTTGC